AGTCTGTCATTTCACGGTGAAACAGCCCAATCCCTCTTCATTTCTTTAATTTTCTCACCAAATGCCAACCACAAAATCTTCACCCCCCACGAAACACGTCATAACGACAGAAATCATGTCACCAACCACAAAGGTCGTTACTATGAACGATGTTGATAATTCTCAGTCTGACTAATTCGTGATGTTAATTTATCATTCTTTGCAACCTATTCAGCTCAAAATCTGTCATTCATTAAGCAAATAACCATAAGATTAACAAGCATATTGATAACTGAATTTTGAAAACAAATCGCATTAGGAGAGATTTTAATCCAACCTCCATTCATGCACTTCTCCATAAAACGCAATATGTAAAGCAGGGCTAAAATTCTGGAGAAATTATTCCACTCAGAAAACGGCTCTGGGTTGAGCATTAGTGGAGTAATGCATACCACACCCACACCATAATCAATCACTCCCTGCTGCCCAAACAGTTGTGGTATCAGTTTGGAAAGTAAATTTGAAATAAAACTTTGAGTTAATGGCATGAGTCACAGATCAATGAATAGTCAACGAGGAAATCCCATCAAGGAATGAATATGAATCAGTGCAGGCTGGGTCATCATCATCGCGGAGATGATCCCAATCCCACGACGAGTCTAAGTAACGTAAAATGACGCTCGTGGCAGTTTCTCATAAACCACAATCTGCATATGCAAAGCAAAGGTGAATGCGCTGAGAACAGAGCCAACTGTGACATATTGGGCATCATATCCATTCACTCACCCAACCATCCTTCTGGATTACTATTTAAATCATATTCCATAATTTTTGACAGGGTGAAAAGTAAGCTATCATGGAGCAAAAGCAGACAAAAAGCATAAACCTTGGACACTCCAAGTGAAAATGCTTTCCCCCTTTTCTCAAAATGATGCGTAGTATGTAGCCAAATATATATTTTACATGGCTAAAATGAAATGCGAGTTTATTAGGTGTAAAGTTGTTGGCAAACTTGTATTCGCTTATTTGGGAAAACATTGTCAAAATTCGAAACATGTCCGGCATCAATTTTGTTGTGTGCTAGCTGGCTGACCACGAAGGGAGGGTTTGGTCATTTTAGAATAGCAAAGGTCGTAACGCAGTTTTATAGCGACTGGAATGAAGGTTGTAAAGTTGAATGAGGTCCTAAATATCTGTAGCAGTGGCAGAAAAACAATCAGCCTCAAGTTTCAAAATAAGATTTTTAAGGGTAATTCTGTAGCAGCTCAAGTGAAAATGTACTTTCTTATCTGATCAATGTTTCCATTTATTTACTCTTGCTCAAATGAGAATATTTGGAGTGCTCGCTCTCGCTCTGATTTCATTAGTCGAAGAGAGAAAAAAACAAGGCTGGATTTTCTGGGTTTTTTTGCAGATTTCATCACTTTCATAAATTTCGTTACGTAATATGCTGATAAACAAGAGATCGGAATTGGTATTGTTTTATCCTCCTCTCAATTGACCCATTATTCGGGACGGTTATGATTCTTTAGTAAATTTGTCTTTAGTAAATTATACTTACTTAGGACTACTTACTTGTATCTTTAGACTAGATTTAAATTTCCCTAAACATCAACCCTCAACCACATACTTATCATTCGAGGTGTGAACGAATGTATGCCAAAACGGAGTGATTTTGTCCAACATGGAAAGCTGTACATGGAGTTGGCTGAAGTGCACATGGTGACAAAGTGTTTGGAGAAAATAATGGGAATCCTACCAAGATTTCTTGTAGTATTAGAACTGGGACTTCGACTTCACAAGTCAAAAAGAACAGGACGTGACGAAGCATCAACCGACAAGCAATATCCACTTTTCATTATCACCTTTCCCATCAATTTCACCAAATCTCGCTCCCCTGCCACCCACAGAGCCGTACTATCCCAGCCCGAGAAAAGTTACTTATGAAATACGAACTGGGAAGGTAATCCAGAGAGAGAGAGACTGGTCCCACTTTTTCCAAGGGGACAAATAATGTGCGTAAGAGTAGAGGTCGTTATATGATCCCGATGTTATTGGAATCTGACACGGTCTTTGAGAAGTCATGTCCTCCTTCGTGGTCTCAGACAAGTTCCAAGTGCTTTGTCATCAAGTAGGGTGAAAGTTTTCCTAGCATTTAATAGATTATCCACGTACGTAAAATTTAAGGAATTTTACAATTAGAGAAATATCTTTTGAAGAGTAAAATAGGTACGAATATGTGAATATTATTTAATTTGTGTACATACAGACTTGAATACTTACTTTTTAGTGCAAGGCTTATTGTACTCTTTTACAGTTTGAGATATGACGAATAACTCCAAAACGATAATTACAGTAATAAAAAGATGTCCACAAAATTATTTTATAGAGTCGAACAAAAACTTTGAAAACTCTTAAATCATGACACTCAAAAAAGCCAAAGGGTTTGACACTTGAAACTTTCATTTCACAAAAGTAAGCGGATATTCCGTTGTTGCGGGTGGATAAGTCTGATTAAGTTTTCCTGCTGTTCGATCACTCATCAGCAAATTCCTTCATCTTTGAGAGTCTCAATCTATCTCAATCTTCTCGATCAATTTTCAGCATTAGAAATTTAATCAACCCTTCATCGGAGGGTTAAAATTAATTAATTTGAGGAAAAAAATCAGGTAAAGCGTGAGTGCGAAATGAATGAGTTTGCAAAAGTGTGAAAAAATAATCCAGCCAAATTGCATATAAAACTAGTTGGTAGCAGAGATGCAAAAGTCGGTAAATTGAATTGGACTGCGGACGAAGCAGAATTTCTATTTGGGAAGAAAGTACGATTTCTTCGTACTGCAGTTACTGTCACGTTTCAATTATTTTGCTAAACCCGTACTGTTTTGCTCCCACGCAACATATTATCACAATATTCTCCGCTATTTATAATACCAACTTGTGCACTTTGTTATCAAATTATCTACGATGTGCCTGACTGGCTGAGAAGGTGAACTTGGAAGCACTTTTAGCTTGATTACATTCGTTCAGCCCACAGTTTATGTGAGTTTTTTGGAGCCGGCTCGCAGTCAAAATCAATGGCCTTTAACCCCGTGAAGCTTTCCTAACCCTGGAGCAGGGTAGGGGCACAGTAATCGGATAAAACAAATGACCGGAGCACAATGGTTGGATGTGAACAAATTTGACACGGGTACTAATAGACGGGCATTTATTGGCCTGGTTTGGCAGTGAGTGGAGTCGGAGTGCAGCCAGAAAAGAATCAGAACAATTAGAGAATCAATACATTTCTAATACAATTAAAGAGATAAAATGTTTCAGATTTATTTCCAGAAGAGCTGCGGGATGGGCAGTTACAATCTTCAGATAAGGCGAGACAACCAAACTTTGTGAGTCGTAAACTTGGTTCGATGGCTGACTGCACTTTATACTTAAGTTTACACCCCACCATTACTACTACTACCTGCTATTTACTCCTACGAATTACTCCATGTCAGTGTTTGGCCTGTAGTAGAAGGTTGATTGTGTTCATAGATTACAGCGACGAATGACCATCCAGCAGCAAAGACGAAATTATTGCCACCTTTTCATGCATGGTGAAAGTAGCATCCACAAATATGCACCTGAGCTCAAACCATAGGTATCATTGTATTTAAATGATTGCTTGAGTTGGAACATGAAGCGTTCCATTTTGTAACAATCTAGGCAATCATAGAAAGCATGTGAACTTCAATTTCAATTTATGATTATCAAATAACAGTTATTAATGAGCGAAATTTATTGTAAAAGTCACGCAATTTTAGAAGCACAAAAGTAATATTGGATGTCAGGCTTACATAATTGGTTTTATTGATACAATTGTGATACAAGTGAATTGTACTTGAAATTTTTATTTTAAATTCGGCCATAAGAAGTTACTGTAAAAGTCAATCATATACAAATTTTTGCATTTTCTAGCCAAACTAATGAATGACAGTCTCTGTTCTTTATAACTCAGTAAGAAAAAAGTAGACTGCTTATCACGATCGTTAACTTAATTAAACATAACTTGTGCAAGACAAGATTTGAAAGTGAATGTAAATATGTATGAAAATGAGGTGGAAGCAATCTGCAGCAGCGAGGAGGATGGTTCTGATTCTTGCCTTATTGAAGCCGATTAGTTGAACTTTCACATTCCATTATTTCCTGTCATGTCATGAAAACGCGCCCATTGCTATTATTAATAGCTTTCCTAAAGGATTCAAGATCTGTATCGAAAAGAAAACCCTGCTGGGTTGGGCTAAATTGGCCCATATTCGAACCCATGTTTTGATAATATATTTCAATATCGGTTCGACAATAATTGTTCTCCGTTTAATTTTTTACGTTTACAGCATTTGCATCCCCTTAACTTGCACACTTATGGCACATACATATGTACAAATATTCACTTTTTTATGGTGCGTTTGATATAAGAATAGCCCATCCGTGCGTGAAAGTCGATTTTCTCACAACCCTGAGTTCGTATGTATTTTGCGATTCAAGCTGTAAATAAAGTAAAGCAAATAAGCGACTCGACTCTAAGAAGTGGATCCATCCACTTCCCCAACCGATTGAATTAATGAGATAAATGGAGCCCATGGTTGTGCTGTAAGGATAACTAACGTATCTCTCTCTCTTCAGACACAAATCAACTTAAAGATTGAACACTGCTTCACGTTGTAGGTAGACTACAAGGAATAACTAGGACAAGCACAAAGCACGCTAATATTTTGACTACCTCTCAACTGAAGACCAATAACTTTCTCCTAACTGTAGCAGAATTACCATTTCAAATTTCCCTAAAGTTGAAATTAGAGTGTGATTTATGCAATTATGTGAAGTTATGGAAGAGTTTACTTGGAAATTAGATTATAAGCCTGCTCACTCCCACATATCAAACGAGTTAAAGTGATATTCCACTTCTGGGAATAGTTCGACTCTGAAATGCAAGCCGCCTTTGTGTCAATCATTGTTAAATCATTGCTTTTCTGTAATATCTTCAAGTTTAGTGACAATTTTCTAAATGATTTTGTATTGTCAGTCAAATCATCAGTCAAAAGATCAGTCAAAAGATCTCTGAAAATAAGCACATCCATCCACGTGAGAAGCTTACACACTTTGACCCAAAAAGACAACAGAGTCTATAATATTCTTTATTCGAGTAAGAAGTATTTTCACCCCACCCGTGATCTCATCCCATTATTAAATTAGATGGAACAAACAAACCAACAAACTAAAAACGTTACTGCTCCCGTGGTGGGATGCAGTTGTCTTTTTTATTGAAAATCAATATGCGGAAATAGATTAGTTCCTCTCGAAGTAGGCAGACACCAGGCCCACGCAGACAAATCTAGCGACCACCAGGTTTCCAGGCGAAATAAAATCAATGACGTGTTACGTACAACCATTCATCGGAATAACTTCACACAATCGTTCTCTAAAATATTGGCTAATTTAACTCAAGATTATGTATGCAACTCAAAACAGGAAATTTACCTGTTGTTTTTAAATTTCCTGTCCTCGCATCGATTTTCGATCTCCTGTTTAACAATAATTTAATTTCTTAGACAAACGATGCCCGACAGTGAGCTCGAAGCGAGTTTGACAATGGATCGAACGAGCGAGGAAGCGGTAGTGAGCATGCAATCAACAAAGCAAGCATCCGGTTGTTTGTGGAAGGTGAGCGAGCGAGTGAGATGAATAAACCCAATTTAATTTGATGTTTATTACTCCGTGTATTTTACTTAGATGCAGTTATTGATTGGTTTTACCATTAAGTGTATCAAAGTAAATTGGACATGACCATAGATATTTATTAATAAAAATCCCTGTTTTATCGGCATCATGAGAACAAAGGATGGGAGAAGACGATCCAGATCTTGCCTCAATATTTCATCAATTAACGTGACGAACTCGGCACGAGGAGGGTGAGACAAATGGACGCGAAGAAGAGAATATAGTAATTTCATAACAATTTCTATTACTTATTTCCTTGATGGATTTTCCCAACCGGTATTTATCCCCGTGTGTCAGGTCGGATTTGGTGAAGAATAGGAGACGACTCAGGCGGGGAGAGATTTGCGATAAGATTGTTAGCCTTCTATACGGTTAGCTTTCAGTTGGCGAATAACAAAGGTAAGGTGGATTGATAACATACTGGGCGTGGGACCAAGTCTAACTTCTCGTTAAATTGGGTGGTTAGAATTTGTCTAATAAATAAAAATGATTTACTTCAGGACCACTTCCTCCCTTGCCGACGATGATAATAGGACTGAATTGATGGACGTTAACAAGACGCTCATTTTTCTTCTTATTCATCTCCTAGGGTTGAGTGAATTTTGTAGAACTAATGGCATAAGTGAGTTAAGTTTTGCATTTTTTTTATTATCTAGATATACACAACTTGGAAAAAGTAAGAGTACACAAAATAAGTATAAAGAAATATTTGGGCAAGTTACCCAACAACAAAATTGTCACCTTGTTGTCGAATGTTTAGAACCAAGTTTTCCTAACCTTGTTACTCGTGGTGGTGGTGGATTCATTCGTAATAAGTTTGAATATCTTTGATGTTTGTTGTAACACAATTTATTACCTTTTGATGTAAATATATTGAATATTTTGCCTTTCATAACTTCTCAAAATAGGAATCAGAATCATTTACATTGATCCATACACAAGTACATCTCTAAGTTCACACCTTCCTCGAATTCCACCAAATTAGTTGACAGGTCGAAATTCAGACGGGTTTCGATCTGGGACTGTGTTTCTCTCCTTTCTTTCCATCCAGTCAGTGGGAAATAATGGGATGCAAATAACTCCTTTGACCCGGAGAGATCGATGCCTTGACACTGGGTTAATGGGGCCACATACACACAGAGGACTCGGTGGCTGGCTGGCTGGCTGGCTGGTTGGGATGGGTGGGACGTGATAGATCAAATGTCTTGTTGAACGGTCAACCCCGTTCTGCTTTCACTCTGGTGAAACATCCCGAAGAACCAACATCATCAATACACTCCTCACTTACTTTCTCCAGCACGGGAGAAGTGCCTGGAAGAAAAACCACCCTGGTCGTATTTGGGTGGGGGCGTTCTCCAAGCTGCACAAGGAGCGAGAGGAGGCTAAGGACAGCACATTTTAGCTGAGGCTTTCTTCACGAGAGGAGCTACTCATCCCCTTTGGCTGGGAAGACCCTCCACAAATTCACACAAGTAGGAGCCAACCAAACCCAACTTGTGCACCCGGGTAGTCGTCCAAGTAGAGCGTGGAGAGGAAACTCCCCATCGCAAAGTCTCACTCACTTGGCATCTCACCCTCAACCCAATCTCATCTTCGGACTTTTTCAACTTTCCCCACTTTCACCTAATCTCGGCCACATACTTTCTCCTCCACTTAAAAAAAGACAAACTTTTCCCACTTTGTAACTAGTTTGCAGTGAGCGTGTTGTGCACGGGGTGTGGTGGTAGGATCTCTCGCGGTGTAATAATAGAGGTGAAAATAATAATAATAAGATTGTACTTGCTGGTAAAGTTTGGAATTTTTGTGCGTAGCGAGAGTATACATAACTTTGTCGTGGTGGGGATTGGAGTGAGTGAGACAGTGCAAAATGCAGCCAATCATTAGTATTGACCAAGCGAGTTAATGTTGATGGATTGAGAATTAGAAGATGCGGAGAGAGGAGGAAGAGATGGACAACCGAGTGGATCATCATCAGAAGAGCGTTGGTGAAGAAGGCTCCTCGTGGAAAAGGAACAAATCATGTTCATCTATTTTTTCCCTGGTTTCGTCACTCGTTGTTTTCCTTCTCTTTTTGAGCCCAGGTACATCCCATTGTTGCACAGATTTGTTTTTACTGAGGGTTAAAATAGTGGAGGGATAGGGCAGTGTTGAGAATTAGTTGGGAGGTTGTAAATGACTTGGTTGGGTTTTTAGGGATTTGGGGTAAGGTGAGAATTTTGCGAAATCTTTGGTATTCTGCAATCGTATCATGTCCAGAACTTGTAAGTTGCTTGCTGGAAAGTGTTACGAGGAGTTTACACATCAACCGTATGTTTGTGCACAACTCTAATTTTGTTATTAGGGAAGTAGGTTTTGATTAACAAAGTTGATGTGGCAATGTGGCATATGTTTTGTCGATTACAAGTTTTGCTTAGTAATTATTATAAATTAGGATCCCCTTTATTAATAGTATGTAATAGTTGGCAATCTAGTTTATATGTTTAGTATCAATATTTCTTTCATAAAAATTTACAAATCAATCATTTCTTAACATTTGTTTTTTAAGAATATACCAGAGTCGCCTATGTACTTGAGGCATTACAAAATATGGAGACGTTCGAAGATATGAAGTGGATCTTCTAAATTTAGATCATGTAGAATAATTTTCCAGCGATGTATTTTAAATTTTTCTCATACATTCCGAGAGTCGATTTACATTTATTATGTAACTGAATCGGTATTATTCAATTCGACTCATTTTTTAAAAATAGACTCACAATCCCACCATTTCTAAAGTAATAATAATTCACGAGTGCCAGTTTCCGTATGAAATTCTAAAAACAACTAGATAATATGAACTTTCGCCCCATTTTATTTTAGGCATATGTGCAATTTCTCAGCATTTAATTAACCTCCATGCTACCAGTTAATTTTCGGGAATATTCCGTTACATACAAAATTGCACAAAGATATTTTTACACAAATTTTTCAAAGTACAAATATTCTTATGTTCTGCACAAACTTTAAAACACGAGTCAAGAATAATCTCATGAAAAAGTAGGGTAGCATTTGTCATTTTTACAGAATGAAAGCAAAGTGGGCGAGGGTGTGAGAACAACTTTTCACTTTCCATGATTTGATTGTTTTATGTGAAGAGTTGTGCAGGATCAGTGGGGCGAGCGTAGTATTTTCTGATATTTGATTTTGTGTGATATCCCCAAACGGATGCTGTAATTCAATTCAAGTGGATTTGTAATAGAGAGCAGTAAAGTCGATGGATGGGATTGGATTTGGTAGACGCATGTAAATCAGGAGGATGGACTTGCTGGTTGGTTGTGGTATTCGGTGTGTGTGTGGGGCTAATATTTTCTCCAGAAACCAAAGTGACTGCTCCTCCGTCCATTATTATCATCCTCCTCCAAGCAACCAACCATCCATCCATTCAGCCCAACCAGTTGTACTTCTTCTTGCCCTCCTCGCACTATTAGCATTACAACTTGTAAATCTAACCAGCAACTGAAATGTGATGGATGTAAAATCGATTTCCTGTTTATTTCTAAAAGGGGTGCTGGCTAGCTGGGATGACTGGTGGACTTATGACGGAATTTCTGGTAAGTGCTCCTCTTACTTATCATTGCTACGTTATCACCGCAGATATATATTTCTGTTTATCTCATTGAGTTCTGTTCTCCAAATATTTATTTCACTCCCATTCAAGATCCTAAAGAGCAAACAAATGTCATCGTCAAAAGTGTCACGTCGTGGGTCGTTTGTCGCTAAAATCTCGGCCCACTCAGCGTAGTTGCAGCTTTTATACTGAGATTTTAATTTTGCAGCTCGGTAAATGGTCACACTCGGTTGCTTGCAATCCTATTTTTATGTATGCGTGTGTCGTACTTTGTAGTAAAAGATGTGGGGTTAATGTGCGACACACAGAGATGAAACCCATCTGTAGTCTATCTTCAATATTTCCCAAACTGTGCATCGGCAATAAAATGGGTTCAATAGTGAAGTTCAAGGGTCTCACCAACAATCGTCGTCATCATCATCGTCGTTTGACTGATGCCCCCGTCGTGCATGTCAACCAGGCTCCATTCTCCTAATGGGACGAGTGCTGCTGCTGGGGTGCAAGTGTTGAATGGGAGGGCGGCTGCTTTCATTTCATACAATATGCATACTATTAACTGCCCTCTCTAACCCTTGTCTCACTGCTGGATGAGGGAATTTATTTTCAAAGAGACGGACAAATTCTGGGAAGGGAAGATGTTCACAATTTTGCGGTATAGCTTTACATACATAGAAAAATGTACGTATATTTATGTACACGGTATGGGGCTGCTGTTTGATCTGTGTTCCGTCTTGTCGTCCTCTACGTATATCACCATCATCAGACAAGATAGCCCAGCTCCATTATTGTTATCCAGGGTGAAAGTGAAAAAGTGGTGGCTAAGAGCATGTGGGACTGGAGTCGTATTCCCTAATGGGCTTCATAACCGACAAAGTCCATTTCGGACAACAGAAGAAAAATATTCACATGAGATCCTGACCGACCACTCTCTCTCTCGCCCTCTCCTCTGCTTAATGGACCAAGACATCTCTCCAGGTCGCGAATCTTTGTGCCCGACAAGGCAAAAGGGAACGCTTCTTGTTAGCGAGACGCAGCACGTTGTTTAACCAAGGGTTGGATCTGCGGAAAACCGCACGACAAAGAAGGACCGTATATATACGAATAATAAACTGTATATGATAGAAGACACTGCGAGAGGGAACTTAAAATTTATTCTCGTCTCGTAATAATATGACCATATTTTCTGTATGGCCAAAAATGTGATAAAAGCCAAGAAACGTCTGTCTGAACAAACACAATTTGTGATTTTTTATAACATCCAGTCAACATTGTTGGCGCGGTGGTAGCAGATCAGTTGGGGGTTACTTCTTGTGTGATATACCATTCAGTGGGCACGGAACGAGGCCCGTTCCTGGCTTTATTATCATAATGCAATTAATAAGAGACGCACTAAATAGAATAGCATATGACATACTTTGGCCCCGACCTATGTCTCATATCACTGGCCTCTACTAAAACATGGCGAGACTTTCACCTCTAATAATGCATTGTGTCATGACAGGTATGATATGGAGAACACATGGCATATGTTTCAAAAGATGTGAGCGTACGATTCCAGTGAAATTCATGCATCGCGTAATTTCCTCGGAAAGATTTGATAGTTTGGAAGAAGTGCACCCTGTAACGTTTCCCATCTAACTGAACGTATCTGTCCACTCAGACCGAAGCCTCAGCAGAATCTATGGCCTGATCCCATCACTTTTCCGGAGTATCTGCTTTGATCAAAAACTACTTATCCCAATATCCTCTCTAAAGCCGCGGACTTGAGCTGATCTAATGAAAACTTGAAGATTTCCAGCCAGAGACAGATCTATACTTTTCCATAGATATATATATTTACTTATTATTTCCCATCCGTCTATATCTGCGGTGTATGTGTCTGTAGGGCTCAGCAAGGGTTGATTCTTCCATTCCCCTAGGAACTGTTGCGAATTTGTGATGTTTGACATTCTCCTCAACACAAAAAATCACGCCGATCAACCACAATTTTCCTACACGGTGATTCACAGAGCTTTCTGATTTTTTCTTCCTTTTATATATCCAGCATCTCTTATTTTCTAATATGTTTGCTATCTCTGCCACCACGGGGACATGCTTCTGCTGCTATTTCTTCGTCCTCCTGAACCTTAAGCACTTGTTCTTGTTGGGGCTTATCCCCTGAATAAAATCAGTCAGCAGTGGGTCCGGGTGGAGTGGGCCACGGAGCGTGGTTTAGTGGAAGTGATTGGGATTCGAGGATCCGCTGCTGGACTCCACTTTCTCCGTCGATGGAATGGAGAGTCGTCTCAAAGGGGACGGCTAAATCCTCTGGCAAAAAGTGATGGAGCAGAAGAAGAGCTAAGTTGACAATGATGCTCTGTTATAGGCGTGACGATTGATCCTCTCATAAAATTATTTCCCCAATATCGGCACTGGGGGAAAGTGACGGAAATCAGAAAACTTTGTTACCAGCAGTAACGTCCACCGTAAAAGTATGACGTAATAATTGTGTAAACACATTACACCCTGTATGCCAACATACATATGTGATCGCGAATTTTGGTTGTGTAATCCGGAGTTGGCTAATACGCTACTGCTTACTTATTTTTGAACCGGTGTTCAATGTAGCACCAAATAAGGCTGTTTTTTATAGTAATAGAGATGAAGATGGTAGTTAAAAGTTGTGTACACATTCGTCTCCCTCTTTCTGAAAGTCAGAGCTCCTTGTTCCCGAACCGGAAGAGAAACTCATCGCTCGCTGTTCATTTTTTTTGCTGGCGCATATCCGGATTTGTTAGAATGGAGTGGAAGTAGAGACGAAGAGGAAAAAGTATTTGGAGATGGGATGCACTAAACCAAACTAAGTTAGCACATTTCTACGAACAACGGGATAATTCGCCCAGAACGCTTGCTGCCGTGGCGCCAGACGATGTCTGCGTAAGTCTGTGTAATAATAACGCATAGCCCGGCGTTTTCCAACCCCTACGTACCATTTTTGTACGTAAAGATTCCTTTGCCAGGGTTTTATTATTATATGGCCCATCTTATCATAAATTTCTGTCTCTCAACTTTCCCCTTCTTGCCTGATTCGGCTACCACAAACTCCATTCAAATGGTGAAATGACTTTAATAATTGGGGATGACTGCGTTTACACTAAAATTACGAGTTTTAAGGACTGCTGAGATCACACAGAAAAAAACTTGCTCCAAGAACCTGCTATTTTCTGTAAATATAAATGTATGAATACTGTCTTACTAAATATTTGCCTGATTAGTTACACAAGTCATAGCGAGTCATACTTTGTCAAAGTACTTGAATAAATAGCCTTCGAATAGACAGATCATTGCATAACTTAACCCGATTATGACATAAAGCAGCCTACATACTTTCCAAGTTTGTGTATAAATATTGATGAAGCCATGGCTGGGTGAATGGAGAATCGGATGATGATGTTATCGATACACGCGACGAGACGGGTCGTTTGTTTGTTCCTTTTCCTCTCATAGATAAATGATGTGGATGGATGGACGTGGTGGACGAAGGAGAAGGAAAGAAAAGTCAGTGGTAGTGGAGTCCAAGAACTTTTAGTCATAAATCAGATCATACACACACACACAAAGAGAAGTAGTCGGCACTTTTGCATCTGGCTTTTGTGAGAAGTAAACTGTCCGATTTCAATTTTTATGAGGAGAGGAAACAAGGTCTTTGGGAAGATGAGATGGGAGTCAGACCAGCCAAACCATCTCAACTTTCTCAAAGCACAACTTTCGTCGGCACAACTTTTCCTATTACTCCACCACCACCACTGGTCCATGCTTCTCTTCATACAGTTCCTTTCACCACCGAAAAACTCACCCTTCATACAACGGAGTCACAAAGGCTGTAGTCTTACTGCCGGGTTGTCACTGTGTCATGTAATCGACATTTGTTGTTTAGATATACGTATGTATGAATGACCTAAAGTTGAAATATGGCTGGTCAGTATGAAGAAAATCTTACATTTCCCAATCATATCTTGCATTACTGTAATTGTAAAAATATGTTTGACCTCACGGAAAGGAATCAGATTCCGCATGACCTCAAAAGTTCAAAGATCTACGTGCATGACACACATCACCGGGTAATACGTAGAACACAGTGTGGCTGGTTACTTGCAATCCTCGATTTAACAACCATCAACTCTATCTCTTTTTCCCATATCTGTGAGAGTAAGCAAGTTAAAAATAGCAAAAAATTGTGGTGCTGGTAGCAGAGTCGGTTGGGTTTTTTGGAGACTGAAAATATGCTGAAGTCATCAAAAGAATCAAAATTCATATGAGGAGACAGCAGCGGAGGCCACGGGAGAAAGTCAACGATCCAAGTAAACTCCCTAGTTGACTGCACCTCTAGATGCACCACTGCCACCACTAACGCCAACAACGACCACGGTGACTTTACCATTTCCATGAAACCAAAGTAGTAAGTAAAGGGATGTGACTGAGTCCAAAAAGCTATGACAAGAGTCAGTCAACCAACCAACCAAACCTGAAATGATAAGAAGACATCCGATTTTTCCCTTTCTCTATCTCCTCCGAAAAGTCCCATTTCACGGGGAGATATTGCATTATCCTCTCTTCCTCCTCCTCTCCCACTCTCTCCGCAGCGAGGTAATAGAAACTCCTGGTTTTCGGTATTAGAAGAAGAGGAACTGCAAGAGGGGATCTAATCATGGGTGTGATGATGACGAGGAGGACGACGACAACGACCACGATGATGAGACTGTGGCAGTGTGAGTGAGGTTCACCTAAAATATTCAACTTGTGGGTCTCTCCCATAATAATGCCGCACAATTTACCAGCCGCATTCGATAGATAGATTTCTAAGTGTTGAATATTGTGAGGCATCTTTTTCCCCATTTGAACCAGAAGAAGGGAAGGAAAGGTATGTGGAAAGTTGGAAAAAGTATCAAGATTTTCTGCCTGCACAAAACCTTCCTCGTTTAAACAGTGTATGCGTAATTCTGTGGCTGAGTGAGCATCGTCATTATGCTTATTATTGCGACTGGTAATAAATCTAAGTGGAAAACGATCTCATTAATTTACACGAGAATCATTTCATAGAGATTAAGGTACTCCAATTGGGTTGGAGACAGTGATAAAGTCAGACTTCATTTCGATATGACTGCTTGCTGCACATAATACTACGACTTGCCACACACCAACGATCAGGAAGTCTGGAGGTGGGATGCATTATGCGTAAAACAGGTGCCATAACCTCTCCAGTTTGAAATGAGCTTAGAAAAAAATCTTCATCTCCTCGTCACAACCAATTCAATCGTGTTATTCCAATGAATTTTGGTCGTGATGGTGGTAGCAGGAATGGTATAAGAGGGTCGGATTCTGGCAAATTTGTCGTGCCGGAGAAAGTGTATTAATCACCCGGTCTCATATCACTCACTCCACTCTCACTAATTCTGACAATGAGCTCTCATTTGGAGACAAGAGCCGTCAAAGTTTAGCCTGGCAGGCAGTGCTTGGTGGGCCTAAAACTCTGGAGAGACAGAGGGAAGGAAAAGAGTGTGGGATCAAAAAGTCTCTCACTTTCCCCATCAACTCGAACCTTTTTCTCTGTAACGTCAGGAGCCGCTCAATCACTTTGTATCACATTTCATCCCCACCAATATTGCTCCGAGTCTTGTTGAACTTCTAGCCCAGCTAGAATTTCTTTGGCTACACTTCTTCTTCTTCGTGGCGACAAGGAGGAGGAATCAAGAATGAGAAGGTCACAGGCACCAACTGTGATCCTAAATAAAATCCAAATGGAAAAATCCTGATGAATGCATGTTAGTATAGTATTCATTCATTTTTACTTTGATCTAACGCACGCATTTTTGTCATTGGTTGAGAATGAGGAGTGGAATCGATTGGAGAAAAAGGTGGATTGAACCGTGTGGTTTCGATTCACTGATTTTATTGCACCCTTGAGACCGCTTTATGAGCAGTGAAGAGGAAGAAAGATGCAGCAATAATGTATGTCCACTCAAACCAAGGAGGGAAGGAATTCATTAGAGGACGAGGGATTTGCATATCAATGGGCAAAGTGCCTCTACAGAGTGAAAGATAGATCAGATCCGCCGAGATGGAGGAGGGGATGTGTGCGTGTGTGCAGCTTGGCTTCTTGTGCACCAAGTGCAAAAAAAACTGCTAATGCACTCCGAGAGGAAAACAGTATTTCTTTGGCTCGGTGAAAGAAGTAAAGCTGCCAAAGACGGACTGATGCGCTTTTTTGAGTGGATCTTAGCGCACTTTACTAGCTCGATGATAGGGTTGTACAATTTGTGATGAAAATTTTAAAAATTCTCGAGTCAGAAACGTGAAGTTTTTTAATCCTTGGCAATCATATATTTGCAATATACGTCATTGCACATTATCCTTGAAAGAAGGTGCAAAAAATACCAATGCACCCATTTTATCCACCGTGGCATAACTGGACAGTCGAGAACCCTGACCATGCATTATCTGCCCTCTTCTAACCTTACGTTAGTGCGTACGGGGGTGTGAATCGGAGTCATCATGCTTTCTTTGCATGACAGGACTGGACGGGCTGGAGCGGACAGGAGGGAGCCGTGTTGGGTCTGTGGTGTGGTGAGAAAGTGAGTGCCGTGTGTCAGAGGAATGGAGGTGAAAGGTGTAAACAGGCGAATGGAGATACCAACAAGGGACACAATGGGCGAGAGTGGGAAATCCCTGCTAAATGAGCTTTATGTTTCTTGGCTATTTCCTCCCGTAGAAAAGGTTAAAGAGGCTCTAGACTCAATCTAGAAAATCCATTGTAGCAGCCAAATAAATGCGAACATAAGTTTCCCTCTTAACCGGAAAGGAAAAAGGAAGGTTGTTTCCATTCCGGTGAAACATCTCCTTCTTCTTCTTCTCTCCCACTTCTTCCTCCTCGGCGAAGATTAACGGACTCGTTTCTCTTGATTTTTCATACACGACCCGGTGCTTCCAAGGGCGAGAAAAATAAGAGAAAAAGGTCATGAAATAGCAGTGCCTGGCAATGGGTTTCTTTCGATTCTTCCGTAGTACTGCTTATTCGTATCCAATTCAAGGTTGTTTTCTTCCTCCTCCTCCACCTCCTTCTCTAGGCATCAGTCCTTTGCGTCTTGTTTCTTGAAAAATAACTAACTCATCTTGACTCGATGTAAGTTTAAGATAGAGTGATAAATCTATACTTGATGAAGGAGAGAGACGGGGATTGGCGTTGGTGGGAGAGTTGCTTATTTATCCCAAAAAGTGTTTTGTTATGTGAATCCGTTGAGGATGCCTCGTATTCCATTTCACCCGGCGAGGGCAAGATGCTCCTATACGGCGATGGTTAGAGGAGATGTCGATATGCCACCCTGGGATAAATTTCACAGGCGTCCGTCAAGTCTGTTCTGGAGAACAAGAGCAGGATCGGTTCGTTCGATACATCCACATAAATCAACATTGATTTGATGAGCGGGAGGCAACGATTAATTGCTTCGATCCCTCAGGAATAATAAGAACAGCATCTATCATGATTACATTCCCACACTCCTGGGTGTCCCGATGGGATGGTGCGAGATGAAGAAATTGTATCCACTACACACAACCTCGAGGAGAGAGCATTATTTTCCCCTTGATATGATCTCACCTCAGTAAACCGCACTTTTTGCTTGCCGATGTTGCCAATTTTTTGATAAATTTGCAAAATAAGAAGTTTTTGTTTTAAAAGAAATTCCCGCATTAATATAAATTACATTTCTTTGCCAACAAAGATGACAATGATAAACACAACTTTTTAAACAAAGCCATGCCGTATGGCTCCTCTGTAGTTTCAGTGTGGCAAGTGTGATTTAATCTTAAAAGAGTATGCTCTTACTTGAATTAGTAAGTCTCGCAACATAAATCTCACAGCGTTTTTTCTCCAGGTTCACTCTTACTTATTCCTTCTTTCAATAAGAGTATTGAATGTCAACGATGCATTTGCTCGGGACTAGAGTTTGCAGAGGAATGACGTGAACATGATGTATGTACAGAACGGAACATACATGTGAATGGATTGAATTTAGCTACAGAGGCGTTGGTGCTGAGTTTCAAAATTCACTACAAATAAGGCTCACACGATCATACAATTGACAAACTGGAGAATCGCATTTCACAAAATTCAGAGTTATGTGGTTGTGAATCAAAGTTGCTGAGGTGGTGATCCTGGGAAGTGAAATGAGAACATGCATACATCTATTTGCATAAAGAGGACTCACTGCATCGTAATGCAATGTGTACATTAAGCCTTTCAAACGACAACCTTCTTCTCACAGGGATATCACCTGACTTTGCCGGTTTGTGAAATAGTGCAGCCTTTATTTACTTCACCCATATTTTACAGAAATTGAAGCTTATTTCAAACATTCCCTGGAAAGAGGGAGACAAGCACGAACAGCTCGGGAGTTCCCACTACCAAACCCGGCATATTCGTACAATTTAGTATTTCCACGTCCAATCAACAGAGTTATCATTATGGTAAAAACGCATACAAAACCGTAATGTAAGGCCACGATGCACATATCGCGCACAAGGGTTGCGGCTTTTTTTCGGTGGGGCACTCATTCCGATGAAATCCTGCAAATCCAAGAGGCAAACAAACAAGAGGAATCCATTCCCTTCAATTCTCAATTGGCTGGCATACTACCAAACATCTTCACACAAAAATATGAAAAATTCATGAGCTCTTTATACTTGTGTGAGTGACTTTCTCCTCTTTTCACAAATTGTTCAAATATGAGACGAAGAAAAAGCATGAGCCTGTGAGCCTGATCTTTCTCCTCGTTTCTTTTCCTGCTACCCCTCTTTTCCACACCATTCTTTTACAGTCGCAAAGAAGAAAAGACACAGCACCACCATCACCACAATTTGTTCTTCTCCTATTGTGGCGTAGCTGGCAATGTGATGCAATCAAATTGTTAGTCTTTGGAACAGAGTCCGGCTTTTTCTCCTTTGTTCGTTCAAGCACCCAAACTCGTCTAGCTGTCACCACCCATAAAGTTTCTATTGAATGTGTAAACCTGAGCCAAATTTTTGCAAAGGGCTAAACTGCAAAGTAATTCGGTGAGTGGAGATAGTGTTGTGCATACACTACCCAGTTTTTTTGGCAAAAGTTTATTTTTCTTCTCACCTTCTTCTTCTTTTTGACAAAGGATTTGACTAGCAGGCTTCTGACTGACTACCCATCATCCAGAACAACCATTTAGTAACAGTGGAGACGCCGTCTTCTCCACAATTTACCTACATAGTCCCCAAAGTTTGAAGTTAAGATTGAAGTTGAGCCTGCTTTCTTGGTCGGATAGTAGTCGTAGCAATATCATCGTCGTCATCATCATGAGGATGGGAATGTCATAGTCGTCGAGAGTCAAACTACCCCACCCCCATTACTCAACCTCTGAGAGAGAGAAAGAGAGAGCTGAACTGACTCTGAAAACTTTCCACGAGAATCTGGACTCCCCTCTATTTTTACATCATCACTTTCTCCCTCCACAAATTCTTTATGCATGTACTCCATCAAATGAAATCTGGAGGACAAAATTCCCATAATTTGCTCTGATATTCAATTTCCTACTATTCTCTTCTCTACTGCGGTGATGATCAGCCCGATTTTTTTATCCCTTCTCCACCTCCTCTTTCTATACGTCAGCATTTCACAATTTGTTCTTATTTGTTTGCTTGGATTATTATAGGTCCCGCATTTTGGGGTCTAATCAATCCACAATGGAGTCTCTGCTCAAAGGGAAGGAGGTAAAAAATATATATAATACTTAATAAACACAACTCTTATTTTGTCCACGAAAGCAATATTACTTAAATGTATTTATTTTGAAACAATAGACAATCTCCGGTGAATGTGGAACCTTCCAAACTTCTGTATGATCCTTCCCTTCGTCCCATCCACATCGATAAAACGCCGGTAAGTTGGCAGCATACGCAGTCAGAGTTCTTCTTCCTCTCGTCATTTGTCTTTTGCGATGGCATGTCACTCCAACTAATGTACCCAATACACAGACCCGAACCACCATGCTACTCGCCAACTAAGTAACTATGTGGGTGACGCCATATACTTATGCATATATGAGGGAAGGATATTCCGTTTCAATTTTCAAATCCGGTACTTTCGAGGCAAGCAAAGTCGTCGTCATTCGTTGAAGACTAAAGATTTGTCATTCATTCCGTTCGCGAAATGTGAAGCAAGACCTTCGAGGCGAAGATTTATCATGCTTTTCACTTCTTATCCTGCATGAAGGTTTGCATATGCATGCACGCGGACAAATGTAAACTGACCCAAAGCAATGTCGTTTAGGGAAAAGCATTGAATTGGTTGGACGGAAAAGAGAAACGTAAAACCTGGTTGACAAAAAGGGAGGGTCAGTCACTCTCACAGGAAAGTAATGGACTGTCACCACTGCATTGCTTGTAAAATCAATCTTGGTCGGTTTGACAATGTTCTGTCCAATCCAAATGCACTTTGTTAAGTGGACCGTTTCCAGATAATAAGGCAACAATAATAATATTTTCATGCTGCATATTTTCCATGAAAATAAACAATGGTTCATCTACGTAAAACATGTATACATTTTCCTTATTTCGTTTGAGTTTACGTACAAAAAATAGGGTTGCAGCCTTCCACGACCTTCAGTACTCGACAGACAACATAAATGAGCTCAGGGAGAAGGATGTTATATGCAATTTGTGCTGTTTCCATCAGGTGAAGGTGAATGCACTTTCTGCAGACAACAAGAAGCCTCCTCTCCAGTCAGTTGAGTAATATTGGTGCAGAGAGAGAGAGAGTAAAAGTAATAGAGGAGTTAATTTTACAGGCACCAACCACAAAACATCGGAGAAAGTGGATCTCTCATAATACTCATCATATCATCATGCTTTGTGGAGTAGCTAATTGTGCAAGGAGAGCAACAAGAGTGGAGCTAAACCCGCTCTTTGTCAGTGAACACACTTATCTGATTTTTGATACCAGCTCCTCCAAAGTCGAGGCGCAATTAACCATGAGCGTGGTGGTGGATATGTGAGAGACCAAGACGTTGGGAGGAGTATATGAACATTTATATTTCCACGCTTAGTGGCCACCAATATGCTCCAGGGGGAAGGTTGTGCAATCTTTTCCTTGCATGAGTTAATATATTTTTTGCTTCTTCCTGCTAATCCTTGAGGAGAAAGTGAGGAACGTATGACTGACAATGAGTAGCGGGGAGTGGTGGTGGCTGTAATTTTCACTCGCACTCGAGGCACTTTAGAGCTTTGGTAATTTTATGTTTGCAATAAATACCGGGATGAAAATCAGAACATTGTGCATGTCACATACGTATGTCTAAAACGTCGGCAGTATGTCCTTCTTCAAGTCTAGACATAGTTTCACAAGAATTTCTCCAGGAAAATAAAACACAACGGATTTCAGTAATTTGAACCGATTCTGGCTTCCCAGTCACACAGTAGAGCAATGTAGAAAACCACAATGGGCGAGTGCATAATGCGTTTCAAAAGAAAACAAAGAAAATTGGTAAAGTGGATTTGCTTCCTTGGGTGAAAAGCGTCTTATTTAAAACTCGTTTGAAAGTGAGTAGGAGAGAGAGAGAGATAGAAAACGAGACGAGTTGAAGTAACAAGATTGGCAGTGCGGAGCAATTGAAAGAACATTGAATTAAGTGTAGTAGGACCATCAGGGTGTAATAATCATATCACGGGGAGAAATAGGATAAGAGCATGTCTCATTCCCTAAATTTGTGAAGACAAGAAAAACTGCTTTCGAAATGAGACTTCGATTTTGTGTTTGGCAATAAGCCAGTCTTCCAGCTCGGCCTCTCTTCTTCGCTATTATGCCCCCTATCTCGGCTAACGGACGACTTTCTACCCAAACTTTCCACTTCCTGGTTGTTGGTCCGGTCATTGCATTGATCTCCTATCTCGCTACCATCCAAGTTGATGGGGTTTGTGATATCTGATGCTGAAAATGCATGGAATGTATGGAATCCACTAGGAGAACAAAGTACGGATGGACATTACAGTTTCTCAGCACTGAAAAAATTGTGAAACCAACAATAACTTAGAATCCCCATTTATTTATTTATGCAAGTCAGCAATCTAAAGGGAACATTAGTTTTTGTTCTTAAAAACTGATGTATACAGAGTAAAATAAAATATCATATGCTGATTTGTTTGGTTCCCTATATGCTCAAGTTGCAGCTATGATGAAGAGCTGCAATTTGCCAAAGCTGGAAAATGGGTATGAAGGGCTCGTGGAGGCGACGGGGTGAATCTCCGGCTTCGAAGGTATTATTCCATTTCCATTCCGTCCCGATGGGTTTCTTCACTGGACTTGAACTGGACAGGGCAGGGTGACCCGTGCGATGGGATATCTCTCCTTAGATTATTGTTTCTACTTCGTCCTGGCGTGGCTGGAATGCAGTTGACTCTGCCATACGGCTTTAGACTCGTGCGGATTTGGGGATAAATCCCATCTTGCAATAAAAAGTGCGAGATTCCCACCTACCATCAAAACAAGGGGGAATAAGGCTGAAAAAACCAATCAATATTTTGCAGTCAGTTGGCTTTGCTGACGATGGTCAACAACGGAACTGGTCCGTGGATCTTAAACTTGGGTTGAAAGTTTAGGGAAAGGAAATATCGTAATTCATCCCTTACAAATGCATGTGGTAAAATAAATCCATCTTCCATTCTCTACAATGGGCATGATTAGTTGGTTGTCGTTCAGACAAAAATGTAATTTTAGACGGTATGGAAAGTGTTTTTAAGTTAAATCGCATTAACAAGTGTGTAGTCAGCTAACTTTCTTTCCCTGCGTACTTTCACTTCCTCGCAGAAAATCCTCCGAGTGTTGTTTATCCACTTGGTACTCGTCCAGTGGGAAAAGAAAAGGAAATCTGATGGATCAGAATCAGCGGAGAAGCTCTGTTTTTTTAGGCCTTTCTTCTCCATGGCTTTCGCATATTTTCACTTCCTATTCCCACCGAGGACAGGAAGGTCAGAGGCGTAGGTAAGGCTTGGCTAGGCATTTCACGTGATAAAATGCTTCACAAAATAACTTTGTATCTCTGTGCCAGCATATCATTACTTTACTTATCTCGATTTTAGAATAAGTGGTGAATGAATGCATACAAGTTTACAAGCAAGAAACCAGGAGGATTGGTACAAGTAGTAAAATACAGAGGTTTACTCTCGAGATCTTCACGACAAACAGTCACATGTCCACATATTCATCCATCTATGTCTGTCAACTCCACTGCATCTCTTACTTGATCCACTGCTAAAGCAGGAACGTAAGATAAGAGAGTCCTACGAACCATTATTTCTCCACAGAGTTTATTCTCCGACACAACTTCAGCGAACTGAGACTTCTCGCAATTTGTTATGATTCGTCTAATCAAAAATGTAGTACATAATTCATCAAGTTGTCAAAAAATTGATTTGAAAGACATGCAAAATCATGCATGATGATGAAATGACAGAAGTGAGATTTTTGTAGAGTCGCACAGGGAAAAGAATTGTCACCCGGACAAAAATAGTGGTATTGTAGCGTAGCTTATAGTGTACAGCTAGTCAAGTGGTAATGATAAACTGAGATTCCCATGTCTGAGTTCTTCATCGAGGTCATAACTCACATTCCTTGTTGACGGGTCTGAAAACGGTATAAAATAAGTTTGTTTCATAGGTTCGGGCACGTTTCCAGCCTCTTCAGTGTAAAAGCATAGAATTATTTTCATCTCATAACATCCAAACAACGTTTTAAAAATAGCAGTAAAATTTTTGGTAGGTAATTAAAAAATTATATATACTTATGTACTCGTGAAATTTACCAGTCGTGTGAATATACTTCCAGTCAAGTAAAAAAAATCACAAACTTTAGTTGAAATCTTTTTCCATCTTATTTCTGTCTGTCATCAGTTTAAAAATATGGCGTAGATGAAGGGCGATACGTAATCAGGAGATATGACAAGTATGAATGAATGAGAGGAGGCTCGTGCATGTACACATGTACAAAAGTACGTGCATGTACACACTGTATGTACCTCGCTTGAAAGCAGGATTTTGACGAAATGAACGTGAATAAATGTGAATAAACAAGACACAAAGAAAAATTGGAGTTGGTTGAAGAGAAAATGAGGAAAAGGATGAGTGGAGAGAAAGTTTATAAAGAAAAAGAAGGCCACACATCTAATCCAACTGCGTCAACGACTCTCGAAAAGAAGACGAACAGACCAACTAAAAAGGTTTTACTCGAGCAAAAAAAGAAGTCACACTCAACATTTCCACCCAATGAAATTGTGTGCATTTGCTGAATTAAAATTGAATCCGGAACATTTTGAACCATTCACGAGAGAAAAAAACCGGATTCAACACATTTTTCTAAAGGCGAGAAATACTGTGGGACGATAAACTTTTCTCTTTTTGAGGACTAATTCAACATCCTCAATTTCTGAGGCTGGGTAGTTTGTGGTTTTGCTTGAACGATGTTTTAAAATTAGTAATATTGTTGGTGGAGATGTATGCATTTTTTTCCTGATTTCATTTACACACTTTTCGTGACTTGTAGATAAACATATTCGAAAACTCTTCAAAAATAAAGATACAAATTTCCTGCTACGTTAGAGATATTTTCAAAATAATGACTATTCAAAAAAGAGAAAAACTAGTTATTTTGACATATACCAGATGCGCAATACGATTTTTTTGGCATGATGTACCTACATTCGCATTTTCGTGGTGATGGGATCCATTGAAGATGTAAATAATGTTTGAATGATATAGAGTTCAAAAGTGAGGAGACCCAGGACAAGAACGACCCACAATGTATTATCAGACTCAGAAGAAGATAATGCACCCACGTCGCGAGGAGTCCATCTGAAATTAGTTTGATCCTACCACGGCTTCCACGGCATA